AGGTAAAACTTCCATTATGTGCGAGTAAGACCAGTGACAATTAGTAGGACAAACGCCCATGTCACGCAACTCACAGCTCTCTGACAAAGGAATACTTCCTGTTTTTGGTGGTCTCGTATCCCTGGAAAGGAACCAGTTTCGTGGACCATGTTTAGTGTTTCGTGAACTGATTCGTCTGTCTTTCTGTCATGATAAACACCAAAACGGGCATCGCTTCATTGACAACAAAAGAGGCCAGCTTTCCTCATGCAGCATTGTAGCACTACTGTGGACGCATTATAATATTCGTTGTCTTTTAAATTATATATTAAATAAAATCAGCTGTCTGAATTCTGACAGCTGATTCAAACCGACGCCGACACTGTCGGACGCCATTTTGTTTTGTCTGACTCAACGCGTCCCTTCTTTCTGGAAACTCACCAGCCGTCCGATCGACCGAAATCGTAGGCGGACAATGGGCCGAGCAGCGATAAAAATCGACCACTGACTGGATCAGACGACACAAACAGGACAAACTGCAGGTCGACAGAGGTGGGTCGCGTGCGGTCTCAGGCGCCCTGCCTGCAGAGGAACTGCACTGCACTGCACGAGACACTGCAAAGTGCAAGAAACGACTCATTGCCAAGTGGAAACAACGATAATGTGTCGCCGTGATAAACATTCTGCCTAAATCGGTGACTATGAAGCTTGGCACGCCTCGCATTGTAATTTTGAGACATTATTTTTAGGTAAGATATAATAAGGTAGTCATAAAAATGCTGTGTCGTTTTAGCGTTGCTCATATTTATCAAGAAAAGCGCTTCCGCATGCAGTCGTCCATGCGCTGAACACGTGCTCGATTTTATCAGGAGCTGTTGCTGGCTACATGGTTTCAAACCGTGACGGCTATTTGAGCACTTACGAAAACAATTGTGATTACATTTTATGTCTTGGCATATTATTGTCACGACCACCTGGCATATCATCGTGATTTGTGAATTTGTCCCTTCCGCAGCATTCGAAATTGACGAGATTGTGACGTTTTCTTCACAGTGAAGAAGCTAAACAGCTTTCAATTGAAGACAGTTTGTCTCATATTGGAAATCAATTCGTAAGGAAGCGAACTCTAATCAATTTTCTTTTCTTCATTTTGAAAACTTTTCATATCAGTATCAAATATGCACCCATCCGCAGGGACCAATGTTACTTTTGTTGTTCTGCTAGTGATTCCAGTGTCCATAGACCGCTTTCGTCCATCAATTATTATATAATTTAACACATGGTTTCCCGTGTGTAAATGGTTTTAACGCACGACGTGGATGGATTGGAGCACGAGTGTGTTAATGCACGAGTGAAACGAGTGCATTAACGCACAAGTGCTCCATTCCATCCACGAGTGCGTTAAAACCATTTATGCACGGAAACCATGTGTTAAACTAATTAATACATGCTTAACGGTGCGAATTTAAATTAAAATTAAACCTAGTCCATGCCACTAAAAAGGGCCCTTTATGGGAAATCTTAGAAGTCAATGACCCTTCCGAAAAAACTTCAGTCGAGAAAGTCAATCACTGCACGCGCGTGCACCAATTTAAATTGGTGCACGGCTACCTTCGAATTAACGCACGGTTAATCTCCAGTGAACGCACCGTAAAGTATGTATTAATTCAAAATAATTGACAGCCATAGGTGCAGCACACTTGTCTAATGTAACTTTCATTCAAGAGGTGATGGCTATAATATATATGGAAAACAAAAACAAGCGTTAATTTTTGCCTGTTGTGGGGACAAAGCACTGACGGGCTGACATTCATGAGATCATCGGCTATGATCATATTAATTACATGATCACAGGCTGCGACATATGGCGAATTCACGCTTCACAGGCATGTGGCCATTTCAGAAGGGCGGCTAGTTTCGTGAGGTAATCCGTCATTTACACATAACATAGCTATGACTCGCTTACCGAGGCCACGACCTCACGAATGCCCATGTCACGGTACAGCAAACATTGTCATGCTGGCATTGTCTTGAAATATTTTATCTTTAGATGAATGGCCGGGATGACCTAATGCAAGGTTTACTCACAGCCTTCGGTTTGTTGGAACATTGTGTGAATTCCGAAAAATGGAAAGGAAAAAAAACCGGCGTGAGGTCAACTTTAGGTATGGGTGGTGAGAATTGTTCGTGACATGGAGCCGGTCATATGTTTGTGTCATGAATGAGATAATATGACGAACTACGGAAAACGGAGAGAATGATGTAAGAAACAAGCATAAATATTATTTACATGCATTCACCCACAAAGGAACAGCGGAACCGCGATGGCTGTCTAAAAACATTTCCTTTATAGTTACCATGCGGTTGGCTGTATTTGTCATAAAACACGTCATGTGATGCATGGAGAGCGTAAGGGATGGTGTATGCAACACAGAAAATCACGTTCTATGAAGTATGAAGTCATAATCAAAATGACGTTTTTGGCATTGAAATACCGAATCCGCGGTGAACACTGGTGAAACAAACGTCAAAGAGCGTCATTTTGCGTAGCGTGAGAGCGTGAGAAAACGTGTTGTAGCGTGAGAGCCGAGAGACAAACGTCTCCCATCAGTCTTTTCCCTTTGATGAGAGATGTCTCAGCTGAGAAGAGCGGATATACATTATTGAACCATAACCCATATCGAAATCTTATACAAATTCCATACATTTTTTTTTTGTAAATTCGTATTTAATGCATTGATAATCGCACCGTTACCATTGGTGTTTGCTCTTGTTTTTAACAGAGGGGACGTATGGATTTTATCAAGAAAAAGTAAAAATACCCACGCAACTTTTACTGAACTGGTTTTAAGCAGAACTTTGGAGCAGCGTTACCTTTGATTAATGCACAATAAACTCCTGACTTTGGCCCAAAGGAGACGCACTATTCCTGCCCACTACAGAATGCTCAAATACCCAACTGTGACCATAATGCTCCTGAATGCTCACCCTCGATTGCCTGGGGGCACATATCTGCCATAGTATACCCACAATCCAGCCCAGCAACCATGAAAGTTGACGCAGTTATAATTACCTCTGTGGTGCGTAACGGCCAACTGCGTTCATTCAAGGCCATGGAAATGTTTTCTCCGGTCCAGGGGAGTTTTGAAGCTGTGAAGTTTTGGATGGTTCGGCCCTCAGAGGGGGGAGAGAAAGAGAGAGAGAGAGAGAGAGAGAGAGAGAGAGAGAGAGAGAGAGAGAGAGAGAGAGAGAGAGAGAGAGAGAGAGAGAGAGAGAGAGAGAGAGAGGAGGGAGAGGGAGAGGGAGAGGGAGAGGGAGAGGGAGAGAGATGTGATGAGTGATCATCAAAGTGTATATTGTATGTTGTATATTGTATATTGTATATTGTATATTGTATATTTCATAAACTCCTCCCGTGCGAACACAGCTTTTTTCAGGAGTTTGAGTCATACAGATCATACACAACGTACACACGTACTCACATACTCTACATAGCTAAAATAATGCTTAAAATGAAATATGTGATGACACCGGCAGATGACTTGAATGACTAGGAATAAATAATCAGTTAACCAAACCTGTGCTCATCGTCTTCAGAGTTCAGTTTGCATTTGAACTGTCCGATTGAAGAGCACTGCGAAACAGCCTCTGGCAGCGAGTTCCATTAGGTGGCGGCGCGGTACGAAAAAGTACGCTGGCGGTTGGGTGGCGGCGAGTCTAACTCTGGGCAGGTCAAGCTGGTTAGACCTGGCGAGACGGGTGTCACGAGGGGCTGTGTCCCGTCTCCGGGTGAACAGTTGGCGCATCACACTCGGGGCGTCCGGATCGTGGAGCGCGCCGAACACTCGAATACAGTTACGCTCCAAGATCATATCCTGAACGTCTAGCCAGCCTAGGGATCTGAGGACGGGAGACATGCGCTCGGTTCGCCGAGCGCCTGTGACCACACGGGCTGCAAAGTGAAGCAGCTTCCGAACGCTGATAACCCCTGATAATAACTTACTTTAACTGGCAGCTGAAAGTGCTGAAAGAACCCTCCATATACCGTTAGTTACCCGTAAATGTGACATTTTCTACCAGACTCTCTGTCGTTAATCAAATCACCTGAGCGTGACAGTGGTCAAGTTTCCCCACTCCGGTATTCGCGAACGGATCGCGAGCATCGAAACGGATTTTACCACATCCACCGCAATAAAGGAAACTGGGGAAAACGCCTGTGAATCTATGGTCAGCGCTGTGTCCCTTCTAACGGGAGGGTACCGGTAATTTTCTGTGATTGCATGCAATAGTAAAGAGTCGTTCACCTGACGCCGGCGGTGAAATGACACCAGTGACGCTAAAACGCTGGTGGTGGTGACTGGGGACAAGGATGAAGAAAACTGATGTTTTGGTTGCCAGTGAGGACTCGTCAATTTGGTATTTGATTTGCAAAATGTCCACTGATATTGGTTATAAATTAGTTTTTGCAGGCTACGTTCTAACCTGCTGGTTGTTCCCCAGCATTCTCTGACAATATCAGGACGCTTTTACAAATAATTCCCGAGTTTCAGGCATTCCTATAAAGAGAGAGGCGTTTTCCCGAGAAAACGGGAAAACAGGAACACACCGATCAGATGACTGCTAGCTGGACTCGTTTCCCCAGTTGAATTCAACTCCACCCTGCATGCGTCATTACTTTCTCTGAACCACTCGACATAACTGAAACCGGACAATGCCTGTACTGTGTGTGGGGACAGGAAAGACGCCAAATGGGCGGGCGAATGCAGAACAAAGACATTTGGTCGGCTGCGCAGTGGTCCAGTTGTCAATCGACTGATCAATCAGGTCACTGCCGCTAGTGGGGTGGCCGATTTGCAATAGCTGTCGACTATTTTATTCCTACCCGTCGATTATTTTATTCCTAAGTTCTAGCGATGCGTAATTGTCAAGGCACCCATGCACCCATCGATGCAAGAAAATATGTCAGTTAATAAAAAAGGCTGGCTTTACTTATCATCATTCCGTTTCTCATAAAACAACCATTCAACACATCAGCAATATTTATTGGTTAAATTCATACACATATCACGCACATCAACTGCATACAAGCAAATGCAATATCGATTGAAGAACACAAAGGCGGATCAATGCCACAATCTTTCACCCCGAAGAAAAACTCTCAAAACAAGTCCAACTTTGTCTAGCCAATCGGAAACGCTGCAGTCGATGACGTCAGCATGCTTCAGTGACGTCACCGGTTTCAGCAGTGTCCAGTTTTCCTGTGAGTCACTCAACTGCACCTATATCGTGGCAGGAATCAATGTTAAGGGTGCACGCGATAAAACCAGAACAATCCGCTTTCATAACGCCGGCGGGCTTACCGCCGTGCCTTGAAAGCATCCGTGGACGGACATATATCACATGTTGGGTGACGTGTGAGTCGGTACAGAACACACGCATAAACAGCGTTTGCAGTGCAAATACGTGGCTATGCGTATTATCATAGGCGTGAGTGGGCATTCATTCAGCAGACGAGTCTGCCAATACATACAGCTAGCACAAGTGTCATGGCTCAGGGACGTAGAATAACAGGCAGACACGAAACGTTCAATGTCGTACATCGGCAAAGATGCGACGCTAATCGATTGGGTACAAGCAACTTCTGTCATTCCCACTCACAAAATACTATAGTTTATTCGCGCATCCTTCAGCGTCACTACTTTGGAAGTAGGTACACTTGACGTGCAAACGGTAAGATGCGCTATTCCAAGCAACACGCGCAACACTTGAAACATATACTTGCGTTGCGCGTGTCTGGGATTTTCGAACTGCGGCCAAGGTAACGGAAAGCTTCGTACACTCGGAACCCCACGAGAAGAAACGTCTCGTTACGCATCAAGACGCGCACATTTCTTCAGGTCCACTCGCGCCTCTATTAGCTGCGTCATCACATCACTTTCATCCCCACGGTACCGTCACCCCAATGTCATTGTCCTTTGTCCAGCACAGCCTGGGTTTGGTACGCGCAAACGCTCGAGGCGCCGGGCTCTCCGCGAAACCCGCACATAACGACCGTAATTAGCGTTACGCAACGCTGCGGAGCGCAGATGTCGAGCGCGTCTACTGCGCAGGTAGCTAGTTTCCCTCCAGCAGTGCCGACAACGGAGGGAGGGACACTGGAAGATTGTCAGTGCGTGGCGAGCCCTCCTCCGCGTGCCCGAAGAGCCTCCGTTGGGAGCTGTTCGACGCTGGTCGTGACTTCTCCAACATGGCGCCATCGCCTTCGCGTCGCGGTCCCCTATTTTCAGACCTTGTACGGGATTCCCCTTCTAAGCGTCTCACCGATGGTTTAACCCTCGCCTGTCAGTCCAATTCCTCTTTGGCCATCTGCTGGATTGATCATTCTGCGTCTCTTTGCCATTTCCTCTTCATGGAAATGGCAGTTGAGGGCACTCGCTACCATTTCCTTCCATAGGGCGGCAGCTAGCTGAACACATTAGCCTCCTCACACCCTCCGCTAGCCATCCTCGAACTCACGACCCTTCCCTAAATCTTCCGCTTTACTCTGGTATTCTATTCCAAGTCATTCAGCGCCTATCCTTCACACCACAACCATCCTCGCCACCAGGCTTGCCATCATCACGCCCAGACTGACGGCCACTCCTCCTGCACCTCCACCCAGGCCGAGCATCTGGTCGTCCTGGATGTGTTTGCTGTGCCGCGCCTCGCCTCCGTAGGCGGGGTCGAGCACGGCCTGCTCGGGGTCGAAGACGTAGTCGGCGTAGTCAGGTCCGTCGTGGTTCCAGAACCGGGTGGAGGGGTACAGTCGGCCCGTGCCGCGGTTACAGCTCGGGTCCCGGCAGTAGGAGAGACAGCGGGACGTGCCGTCCGGCTGGGCGTCACACCTGCGGGAGAGGGGGCGGGTCAGAGGTCAGGTCAGGTCAGATCACATCAGAGGTCAGGTCACATCAGGTGTGTCATTCCAGTGTTCCTGTCTTCCAACATGTCAGAAGTTAAACAAGTGGAATGTGAGGTCGAGCAAGGCCAGGTCAAGTCACAAGAGTATGAAGAAGCATTTGGCTTCATCATTAGAGACTCGGTACATGACGCTTGATAAGTCATTATACCCAAAGGGAGGTAAAAGGAGGTTGACGGGTGCAAGGCCAGGTCAGGCGAGGCTAGGCCAAGTCACAGTCGAAAATGAGCGGATATTTGTTTGGATCCTTAGTAGGAGTTATTGTGAGAATCGTAATGTTAATAATGCGTGGTCACTGGTCATTATGCCAAATTCTGTTTATTCCTTAACATAACAGCCTGTGAACATTAAATGACGCAGAACGTGAGGTCATTCGCACGAAAGATGATTACGTAATGAAGTGAAAGGAAAGTTTGGTGCTTCGATCGCAGCTTCTCAAAAGGATGGACAGCAGGACATTTTCGTGTTTGCCAAAGCATCACTTACGTTGCGTGGGTTCATTTTGAGACTATCTGATAAAAATGAAACGGCACTGCATACATTTGTAGAGCGCTCACCGCAATATGGTCACAAAGCGTTATCGTTCCCTCAGGCGCAACCACCGAAAATCAGGTGATTGTATTACTTTCCCCAAGAAAGCAGGGCCATTCAATGCGAGAACAAGCTCATAAATGAAAAAAAGCTCCTTGTTGATGTTCTTACATGAAGAAATGCAAACAGTCAAAACTACATCGATCGTTCTGCTGAAACTGTTTAATGTAATCATGTCGAGCTGAATAATATGTCCTTTTTGAAGTGAACAACTGCTGCTAGCATATCGATTGAATTAAATTATGTTGACGACCTCGCAAGTTTGCCCTTCGCTATAACAACAGCCAAACCACGAAAAAGGAAAATATTAAATAATTAGCGGTATTAGCCATTAGCCCTTATCGTTTATCACAAACTTTCCAATTTTTTTTTTCACGATCAATGATAAACCGAAATGGCACTAAAAAGCAATCAACTACATCCAGATTCGAACCCGAGACCCTCCTTTCGCTCACTATTCTCACCTGTTGTAGCTGAAGCGCGACTCGAGCACAGTGGCGCAGCGTCTCCGCAGCGAGATGAGGTTGCCGTCGCTGGTCTGGTGGCGCTCTGTGACGCACCTCTTGGTGCCCCGCGGGCAGACGGCCTTGCCGTTCGGCTCGTTCTGGGGTCGCACGTGACACGCCGAGCTGGCTGTGCTGGTGAAACAGTCGTAGCATCGCGCCACGTCCGGCGACGCAGCTGCCAAAAACAGGAAATGACGTCAGCAAAGCGTGCACAGATGGTGGCGTGGGACTCAAATATGGGACATAACATGTTGTGTTGTTCGATTTTTGGTACTGATCGAATTGCACGCTATTTTGTAATGCGTGTGAATTAACATTCATCGACTAGGATATCTATTTACATTCGTGTTAATGCCTACACAAGAGCCAAATTTCACGTCACCAGGAGGATGTTTTTACACAGATTTACCGGTGTTTCGAACTGAATCGAATCCGAATCGGCCATGAAACACAACAGCGCCGATGAGCGGTGCCCTAAGGACAACGAGCGCAATTGATCCATTTTTCCCGGATGCAGCCGGTTAAACTTCCCTCCTTTGACGCTCAAAACTGGTCCTTCGGGCCGACAGAATCACACAGTCACTGCCAGATAAGGAGCTCGGATCCGTTCTCAGTTCTGTATATCAAAATCCGCACGACCTGCTTCAAAAGGACCAGCTAGTTTGACAGTTGGCTCTTGGTTACTGTTGCCAACTGCCCGTCTGGTAAACGATTTTCTTGCAAGGCGATGCAAAGAGTCGGAATTACCCTGCCTCCCGCGCGCGGTATTCGCTGATAATATGCCCGAGAGCCTGTGTAACGTCATGAGATGTGGTCTGTCGTGTCGGCACTGCCACGTCAGACCACGGGGAAGCTGGGGGCTCCGGTCCCGCTCTGGGATATGATCACGGCGGTGCAAGCTGCGGTCCCGACTGGTTGTGGCGACCGGTGAGCAAGAGCTGCTGAAGTTCCCAGAAGCGAAGTGGGATTACGACTATTGCATCAGAAATAGTATTTCGTAATAGGTTGTAGGCTCTTTAGAACATTGATCAAATCCATCTGGATTCTTTTACTGGATCTTGTAAAAGAATGTAAAATTTTGACTTGTAGCCAGATTTATCATGTGATAGACAATGATCATTAATGTCTGATGATTAACAGGTGGTCCAAAGCTGCAAAATGTCAAATCATTGCATGCCTACAGCCGAGACTCTCACTACTTTAATAACCTGATTCACTCCTCTGCTAACAGCCAAATCAATTGAAATCCTCTCTCAACCAGCCCATCCCGCTGCTCGTCTCACGCTAGCTCTCAGCAGGTGGCCCGGGCCGCACCTCCCACGAATTTCACCGCCTTACAGCGTGGGCCCCAGAACACTTCCCTGTATAACCCTGGAGACAGATGGGACCCGTCGAGGCCATCGTCGGTAATCCTCACGTCGGGTAAGACCCTGCACGACCGTCCTGCAGAGGCCATAAGACCCTGCACGACCGTCCTGCAGAGACCATGTTCTCTGTTCGTGGAGGGATTACTCTGGCAGAGTCCGGTCCGCAAATGGTGGGCACTTGCGGCGCACAGTGGACCGCAGGAATGTGGGAGTGACGCGTCCGTCCGGAGTGCTAGACCAGACCGGACCGGACCGGCGTGCACGGGGCTTTGTGAGGGGCAGAACTGGGCGAGGGGAGGGGGAGGGAGGGGCAGCGGGTACGCGGCCGCGTGGCCGAGGGTTTTGGGGTAGTTGTAGTGAGGGGGGAGGGAGGGGAAGTGCGGTTTGCACGACAGGTGAGCTCTGCTTGTCGACCGGTCCCAGGCCTGGGCGCCAGGGTGCGAATTAAAAACGGGTTTTAGGTGGACGTATCTAAGTCGTGATGTACTTGAACGTGTTTGACGCAGTTTGGGTGTTGGAAGGCGGATTAACAAGATGTAAGCCAAACCGCCACTCTGGGAATATGTTTGAGCAGAGATTTGAAGAATTCCACGCCATTGTCACCACTCAAGCAACTAACAAGCGGAACTATACTATTCGAATTTCCAAAGATCAAAGCCGACAGTATCACGACTTCCGCGTATGCTTTGGAGCTTTCCGAGCGATAGATCTACGCTAACGGAAGATCTCCGCTCTGAGCTGCACGCTCCTTTGTCAGATAACTATCTGCCCTTGGCAATAGGATCATTGGCATATCCTGGGGCTCTATCTGAGCGACACAAAAGCACCTAAATCCTAATCCCTATGTCCTGCGAGTTCAGGATCATTGATACCTGCACCGCAGGGCATGTACTGACATTTCCGAGGCTTTACTCGGATTTGGAACGCATGCTAGCCCTAACTATGCATTCGAATAGACGCGTGTCTTTGAAATACGAATGACTAAGATCGGCCTCGGTGATTGATCTTATCCCCAAAAATGACCAGAATCCGGTTGCGTTGGTAGCCTTGCGTGGCCTCAAAGAAATGCCTGCTATTTAAATGCTGCTCAATGCTGGAACTTCATTTCGGAGTCGTGTAGAAAGATGAACAATCACCAATGCATGTGATAATGGGCACTCACTTCCAAATTTTGACAGAACACTTTCTGGCCACCACAACACTCCCAAATATGCACCCGTGACTCTCGGCTCGAGAGACGAGGAAACTTTTCCTGCCCGTCTGGGATCACTGCACTCGCCTCTGTTTTTGGAGTGCTGTAGAAAACAAACTGCTCAGCTACGTGCCAAACAGCCGTTCTGCTGCCGCAAAGGTTCGTTTGACCGTGAACTTTGTAACAATGGCATTGTGTGTTTGGGGCTAGGGTGTACTGTGTGCACTGTGCACATACTCTTATCGACTTCGAACGAAGGCGCACGAGTGCTGAGGCTGGTTACATAAAACTTGCTATTTGTAGGTAGGAAGCTGGGAAATGTTTTGAAAGAATACTGTACACGTTTTGAGCTAGTTTCCGTGCACCGTTGGCAACCTAAAAAAATCAGATTCTGCACAATTTTCTTATTAAGTTAAGCAAAGGAAACAATTTAGAATTACAGATCCATAGCCCGGAACCGGCAGCTCAGAACGACAGACTGCAATCCCTCTGCTTATAGCCTAAACCACTCCAAGGATTACGTTTTCTAAGAGTATTATACCTACAATTGTCAAGGATATAGTGTCCGACGCAGCGACACAAGCTGCAGTCTCTGGTGGAGAGGAAATGGATGAATTACAGTAGTACAAGTTAAAATATAACCAGAGAAACAACGTTAGCGAGAAACGACCGTGTTCATGGTATGGGCAAGTGACAAGCAAGATTCTGAGCCACGGAAAACGTGACGCTAACATTTGGTTGAACAATATAACACGATAACCAGAAGAGGTATGGCATTGATTCATTGTTCCCAGCTCAATGAAGGCCGACACCTTCCACTGTTTTCCCAATCATCACATGTGCCGAGATGTGCTGTTATGCTAGTCGCGTGACTATGTAGAACCCAAGTAAAGCGGATTGAACTTTCGTTTTCGGTTACAGTAACTGGGCGGATAAACGGGCATCCGGCTAGGGTGGTCTTATTTTGCAGCCACGTGGTGCCGTATATGCAGACGGACTCATAGGCTTAAACTATTTTAATTGTGTTCTTTGATTGACCTCTCTACGCAATATTACATAGATATATTCCATTCGATGAAACAAAAGATTGAAACTAGCTTGATGATCATGTTTTTGAAAAAAAAAATTAATCTTAAAAAGTTCAAACCCAAACGTTCACCGAAGCGATACAGAAACGGGCATAAAGAAACAAACAACGAAGCGTGCCATTGTTTTCGTAAACGTTCTTTATTCGATGCAAGCAGTGTGCACTTCTGGGTGTTTTTAACTACTCTATGAGATCATAAGTCGTTCAGTTGGAATCCCACTGGTATGTTTTGCACAGCTGCAATGCAACACTAGCCTCACAAATGTACCGGTGATACTAGCATACGGACGTGAATTTAGGGGTGTGTCATCACAGCTGGCTAGCTATTTGAGTTGCAAATGAGGCTTTTAGAAACAACGGCGAGGTGCCAGCTGTTCAGGAGCCCCACAATGCAAACGGTCAACCGTCTGCTCGATATGACCAAAACTTGCACGCCAAACGGAGTTCAAATTCAGTCCAGCTGGCGTGGGCCATGTTCCTGTCCTTGAGTTCACTGTTTGTAACGGTTCACTTCCAAAACGGCGTGTTCCATGGTCAGTGGATGTGACACTTTCACCAATTAGCTGACAGTATGAGGGTCACATCAGTCCCTGTGACGTCACGAATGCGTCATGCCACGTCAGACGTAACTGATGTGACTGATATAGCGGACCTGCGCACCATGGTGTGACTCAGAGCTGGATGAAAAAGGCTGGGAGTTGGGACCGTTTGACGCTAAACGACAGGTAAAAGTACGTGTGACATGACACGACACGTACGAGTATTATACGTGTCGTACACGTATGTTATAGTGCGTGGAACTGACCGGTGACTCAAGCCGCAATCTTGGAAAGAATTGCGCTACAACAGAGCTACAGTGCACCTTACATGTCTCCAAATCCTAGGGCATTAACTTTTGTAGCAAAGGAGTAGGGCTAATTGGAGGTATGGGTTGTTAAAATTTCTTGCCCGCCTCTATAGAGACGGGCACGGGGCATAGGAGAGTCTTCGACAATAATTTTACATTGCTTATGAAGGTTATTGATCCCCTCTCAATTACCTAGAGTCTTAGCATATGAATATGCATGAAAATCAACTCTTAAATATGTGATATTAAGAACATTGTGCTTTGTTTATTTGCATATCTGAAGTCATGTGGAGCCATACAATGGAAGCCGACGTCATTGTCCTGGATGGCTGCACCCCTTTCAGTCCTGTTCCCAATAAACGAATCCATTATGCAACATGATTATCCTCGGCTTTTGCACGCCTATTCCATTGTGACCAAAGCAGCGTGAATGACAGCGGGGACAACTTGTTTCCTCCCTTCCCAACTGACGAGGAACCGCAGGTGGGGGGCCATCAACCCGTTAGACGGACAACACCTGCAACACTTGTGAATCCCACCAGCCCATCCCACCCCACCCATCTAATCAATAATCAAATCCCCTCCTTATTGGAGACCCTCCACCTCTTAGGCTGGGGGGATCCGTGCTATCGTAAGTTATATCGGACGTGGCTGCGAAACTTCTCTCGGTACGAAACTTCTC